TTTTCAGATTTTGTAAATTTTATAACCTAGAGTTTTTAATTATTGAAAATCATGATTTTAGGGTTTTTATGAATAATTGATTTAGGGCTTTTATAGTAATCATGTTTTGAAATTTTGGTGATTATAACTACTTATTAGTTTAACTTAATTCCAGATTTTTTTGAACACGTAAATTCATGTTTTAATTATTAGATTTCCGTTCATTAATATTAATCCCGTTTTAATCCCGATCAGGTTCTAAACTCCTCCGATTTTGATAAAAAAAAGTAGTGTTTTTCGAGTGGAAACAATGTTTTAATCTCGTGGCCAAATTCAACCTCTAAATACGATTTTCGAACAGTTTTTGATTTTTAACGAAGTTTTTTTTTATGCTTTAAATTTTATCTTTGAGTTTAAAAGGGGTAAGAGATAATTTAATGTTTCTATGGATAATTTAAGTATAAAGATGTATTTTGATGAAGTTTTAAAGGATTTTTGATTAGTTTAAAATGTTGGAATTTTATTTAAAGTAGTATAATTGTGATTTTTAATAAAAGGGTGTGATCATTAAAAAGGAGTTTAATTAGGGGTTTTAAAATAATTTTTAGATTATTATAAGTTATTTAAAGTGAGTTTAAGTTGCTGGAAATTATGTATACAAGGGTAATTAATATAGTATTATTGTCCCTTTATGTAGGAGACTTGGTTCGAGAATTGTTGTAGAGTACTCGGTTATTTTAAGAACTTATTTGAAGTACGTTCGCGTACTTAGCATATTTTGATGATGTAGAATCATGCTAGGCTTGATTTCAATCAATTACAAGTAGTATCATGTTAAGGTTTATGTATGGAATTGTGAATCAATGGTGTTGGTGATTGAATTGTGAAGCATGAATTATTTGTGATGGTTTATGGTTGGAAAATTATATTTTGGGCATGTTGTGTTCTAACCACATTTTTATTTATGGCATGTTAGAAGGCATGATTAATTAAACTACATGTTTAATTATGTTTGAAATATTGAAAAGGAATTTTATTATGGTTCAAATAATTTTTATTGATGCTTTAAGCATGAGGAAAGAGCTATATAAGTGTCTATGTACACAAGGAATAAATTGTACGTTGGTGCCTTTGTGCACTTAAGGTGTTTTTAACACCGAGGGATAGGATTTTTTTTTTGGCGCATTATGCGTTTAAGGTGTCTTTGACACTGAGATAGAATTAAAAAAGGTTCAACATTAAATAATATGTGGTCACTAGTTATTCAAGAATTAATTTGGTATGTTTGATTGATTGAATAATTATTGTTGATTGTTTTCTGATGCTTTGAGAGTCATCACCAAATCCAATAAAAGGTAAATAACGTAAAGTGAAAGAGATTACGCACCAAAACTATTGGAATGTATATACCTTGAGTATGAACAATGGGGGGAGTTATGGGGTTTTATATTTAACCATAACTTCTAATGGAGTACAGGACGCTGTACATTCCTTTTTATTTATTATTATGCGCAGGAATTCCGCCACCTTTGAATGGTTTTGTCGCTGGCACGGTTAGCTCCCGTGTCAGTTAACCTCAATTTATTTGGGGGAGGTTAGGAGGAGGAAACCCGTTCAAACCGTAATCAACGCTAAATGAATTAATTAGTGTCTAGTCATTGTGTCTTGTTGATTGGTGTGTGCGCTTGTGAACAGGTGTAATGAGGTAAGTGTGTGTTGATAGGTGAAATCATGTTAGTGTGTTTAATTACGCTTATGTACTCAGCTTTGCTGATTGTTTGTGTTTGTGTGTTTGGCCATGTCTTTACTTTGGCCCTATGACAACCCATTTTCTAATGGCGAGTAGTGGGGACAAGTAGAGAGGAGGTTTTCAGGTGATGAAACATATTCATGAATGGGCATGGGTGAAGAGCGAATCATGCTAGTTTCTATAAGTATATGATGGGTTTAACGCTTTAATTATTTATGATATTATTATCATGCATGACTAACACAAAAGTTTTAAAGTCGGTTTGGTTTTAATAAGGGCCTACAATGGTTCCAAGTTGTAGGATGGTTTTATTTTACTTCGTTTGACTTTGGTTTTGACTTTACTTTCGTTGGTTGACTTTTCAAGTTGACTTGTTTTGAACGGTTTTGAAGTTAGTCTTCCGCTGTGTGTCTTTGATGGTTGCCTTAGCCGTTTTCACGGTGGCGGTAATATCTTAGATATTCCTATTTAAATTTTTAAACAGGGCAAAACATGTATTTTGAAAGAAAGGAATTTCTAGGGTGTTACATTAATATATAAATTAATTCAAGTATTCAATCCATTTAATCGAATTTGATTTAAATTTAAATCAAAATTGGTCGTCGATCGGCGCCTCGCTAGTGACCTGGTGCGAGAGATTAAGAGTCAAGGGGGAGTGCGAGATAAAATGGAAAGTGATGCAAGAAGGAATAATGATGGTCCCCGGTTGGAGTAACATAAAGTGAAAATGAGATGGAGAGATGATAATCAGCTAGGTTCTTCGGTTTTAGGAAGGCTAAAAGCTTAAGACATTTAATTAAAAAATTATATGCAAACCAGGTTTTCAATATAGACCGAAATATTCATTTTTTACCAAAATCGAACTAAAAATCCAAAATCCTTATTTTCAAAGACCGGGACTGAACTTGAAGAGAAGGTTTTGCGTGAGACCGTTCACGTGAGTCCGGTTTATAATGCACACATCCATTCCTCACCCATTTCCACTACCATTACCTAGCCATTTGTCGGAGACTGACGACCACCCTCCCCCTCCCATCCCCAACTCCTTACCCATAGTACCGTCCACCACTCGCCCATCGCACACAACTTGCACCAATCGAACAACTCTTAGTCGCTATTCCACCCTTGCTTCAAATGTTAATTATTTATGTTCAAGTTTTGATGTGCACCCTTCTTTAATCTGTTTTACTGCCTTGGTTCATGCTCTGTATTTGATTGTTGATGGAAAATTTTCATTTCAAAAAAATTCATTTTCTCTTAGTCCTTCGTGCAAACTGCAAACGTGGTTGAGATGGTAGCGTGGCTGTCATTTTCTCATCACTTGATTTCATAGTGCATAATCATCCCTTGGTCATGAAAGTTCTGCTGCTGGTTTTCAGATCACTAAATACAATAAGGCTTTCTATTGCAACAACTGTGTATTTACCGAATATATGTCTAATATCTGATCAATATCGTCTAATATTTGATCAATATTTTCTAATTTCTGACACTTATTATCTAATATTTGACCAATATTATCTAATTTTTAATACTTATTATCTAATACCTGACAATTAATATCTAATTTCTGACACTTGTAATCTAATTTCTTATACTTATTATCTAATATCTGACCTCTTTTTTTTTTTTTTTTTTTTTTTTTTTTTTGTATGATTAGACTCACATAAGTCTGTCCTACACAATACTTTTCCGAACTTAAATCTACCGATATGGTCAAATTCTAGTAAGGTTTCACACCTCTAAATGTGAATGGTAAGTCATCTTCAATTAAGTGAGATATTTCAGGTTCAAATCTTAATGTATTAACACATAAAATGGTAGTAAGTCCAATCGAAAAAAAAAATGTAGTAAGTCTTGCAGTAGAATTTTATTTCAGATATGGACGGGAAAAATTCGCCACAAGTTTTATCACAAAAATATTTCATTCTCAAATTGTCCTTTTGCTTTCTCGCAAAGTCGCAAGTGATAGCCATGTAGGTAAGTCGTAAGTTCTTGAAAAAATCCATTTCCGATCAAAGCTAAGTTATAGAGAAGAACCTCTCCCAATTCATAGGTAACAACTAGTATGTCTACATTTTTACGTCAATTACTTGGAATGGAATATTGATTTTAAACCCACTTCATCAAAGCTTCTTTACATGTAGCCATGTAGGGTTTAGCAGTAACTACTTAATTTTGATTTAATTGAGTCATTCTTAGTTTCAAATGCTTTTCTGACTAAAACTTTGAGCCTGTTAAAAAGGAAATTGCTGGCATAACGTCTTCGTACCAACAAAAAATTCAGTAGGTTTTGTGTATGGCTGGCCACACGGTGTGGCCAACTAACATACAAGTAACTCTTAATCAAGTAACCTCTATTGATGACCTAGTAACTAGTAACCCCTGACCAAGTAACCCCTCCAACCTACGTAGTAACCTCGAACCTAGTAACCCCTCTAACTTACCTAGTAACCCCTCCGATCTAGTAACCCCTGACCTAGCCACCAATTCCATCACTAAAGCAGCACCAAATCACCAATTCCAACCACCACAACAATCAACCATCTCCCTTCTCACGCACTTCCAAAATCTATGAATTTGAATGGGTGCAAAATAACCCCAAAATAAGTTGAAAAAGATTAAAACAAAATAAAAAGTCCTACCATATATATTTCCTTGATTGCTGTCAGGTAGCTAGGAAATTGTGTTGAAAAAAAAGTAGCTAGAAATGACGAGATTGACGGAATGACGGTTGACGAGGGAGTACGAGTAGTCCAGTGAATCTCCGCCCCCATTCCTTCACTCTTGACTTTTTCTTCCTCCTCCCAACTCCATTGTTAAACCACAACTCCTCCTGCTCTTTTCCCCTGCGCAACCAAACAACCAGCAACAACAATTTCGACTTCTAATCCACTGGCAATCAGTGTTTCAGCGACCAATAATAATGATTTCGGCCATTAATTGCAACAATTTGATAAGGAGCATCTTCAATTTTCGCCTAATTGAAAACCCATATTTGTGGTGTAGAAGAAAAGAGGAGAGAGAAAATCCAATTGCTATCTCGAGAAGGAAAGTAATTTGTGGCTGGTGTGGCCAGCCACATATGAAAGTTTGTGCAAAAAATTTAGCTTCTTGGTACTTGTTTTAACATTGGCAAAGCTTTAACTTCTTAAGACATTTCATAATCTAGTCAAGGCTACAAACGTTGTACAAAGATGAGAATAGTGCTCTTCAAGATATAAGGCTATTGCACACCTGTAGTAGTCTGATGAATTTCAAAACAACTGCATGCTACAAGCACATAGGTTTTTAACTTGCATACATATCAAGGAATGCGGACAAACACGAGAATATTAACTTAGCTATTGACCTATCAATTAGTAGTAGTTGCATTATGGCATCAGCAGAGAGTTCCATTTCAACAAGAATGGAAGGCAACAAAATCTGGCAGCTGATACAGAAAACTATCTAGAAAGAAAGGAGGCAACATAGAAGTGAACTCATTCCTAGACGCCAAAACTTTACAGTCATGTACACTTTACTCCTAGCTGAAATAACTTCTAATTCTGTACAAAATTCACCAGGCATAAAGTTATCAGAAACAACCCCATGACTCAATGCATGAGTGACACTAGCAATGCGCTTCCAAAGGGGAGCGGGAATGTAAGGAGAGCATTCAAAGCTAAATTCTTGGCTGAAAAACAGCTACTGATATCTAGTTATGTACACAAAATAAAGCAAGAATATTACCCATCAAAACAACCAACACTTATCAGGAGCTTGGTGGTAAAGGACTTGGAGGTGGGGGGCTTGCAGGCAAAGGGCTAGCAGGCGAGGGACTTGCAGGTGAGGGATTACCTCCAGGACGAGGAGGCCTTCTGAAATACTTGGATGTGAAGGACTCGGCAACTGAAGGGTACTTTCCCTTAACATAAGTCTCCAAGCACTTGATGTATGAGAAGTCCACATTCTGTCCGTCTGTTGAAACCACATAAAAGCAACGGCTTTCTTGGAAGTTGCTATGCTTTTTAACCTGAATATAGCAACATGAAAAGATTTTAGAAATTATTTAGACTTCATAAAATAAAAAAGGATTTCAATAGCAAGAGCTACGTATAGAATACCGTAATAAAATCAACTCCAGCCCCAATTTTAGCCGCTTTATCAGGATGGTAGTTCAGCACATTGTCAATAACATACTTTTGATCATCAGGAGGAAGAGGTTCTCCATCATTACACCTACAAATTAATAATTGTAACACAATGCCAGTCAGTGAAAAAGGAAAGCTTAATAAATAAAGAAATGCTATCAGATTGATGTACAAAAATTTCCCGTTTGTGTAATTCTCACGGTCTCACCCAGCCCAGCACAAGATCCCCCCCCCCCCCCCCCCCACAAATTAAATAATTCCAACTACCTGCATAAATCATACAAACAGCCAGAAGAAACAAACCAAGTTCTGCACACCTACTCCTAGGTATTTTCAACTGATAAAACCAGAATTTATCATCAATAGTCCAGTTGTCAGTTTGTCACCATCAGAGTTTGCACCTTCCAGTACACCTCTGGTTTGTATCTGTGAACCCTGTACCATTCTTTCACACAGAAATGCAGATTTATACTTTGTTTCATTTTAGTTGACACATGTGCCAACACAGGATTTCAACTATCAATATATTCACTTTATCGGCAGACAAAAAGCTAAATGAGTCCATTCTAGGTGAAATGCATCTAACAATATATTCACTTATCGACAGACAAAACTATCAATATATTCACTTATCGACAGACAAAACTATCAATATATTCACTTATCGACAGACCTAAAAAAATAAAATGATATTCAGAAAATGAAGTCACAAAAAACAAAAGAAAACAAATATCAAATTATCAATACTCCTAGGTGAAATGAATCTAACAAGACAGCATCACTTTTTTCAATAATCACTGAAGGAACAAGGTAATATATAGAGCCTATGTCAAAACTTTTCAACTAATAAGAAACGGACAACAATTATCATCCTTGCAAATTAAACTAAGAAATGCATCAATCAATTAAATACAGTAGAGAAAAGTTGTAGATATACCCAGACTGATGCATGATTCTTCGAATCGACTGCATAACCAATTCAACTTCAGATAGGACATCTTGCTCTTCAGCTGGAAATAAGTCCATTCTTTTTCTAGTAGCAGTTAGTGCCACACTTGCAGAATCATCATTTTGTCCCCTTGGAGGTCGATTCTGGTTAGGGTTATGATTTTGATTCTTCCTGCTTTTCCACTCACCAGTGTTTGAGGAGCCCCAGCCACGACCACCTTCAGGCCGTTTTTTATTCCATCCAGACCCTCCAGGCTGTCCCCAAGGTGATTGTGAATCATCAGAAGAATCCTTCTTCCAAGCTGAAGAATTTGGTTTCCCCCAAGAGTCTTGTTTCTCACTATCCTTTACAAAGTTGGTCTCTTCAGAACCCCAACCAGATGAATCCTCAGACTGCTTTGACTTATCAGAACCCCATTGATCAGAACTTAGTGCAGACTTCTTTAGGGTTGAATCACTAGGCTGTCCCCATGAAGATTGAGACTTACCCTCTCCTTTTTTGGCATCCCAGTTACTCAGACCATCTTCTGCAGAGGCCTTATCCAGTTTCCAGTCACCAACACTTTCAGCATTACTCTTTGGTTGTCCCCAAGAGGATTTTGCATTGTTTTCTTTCTTCTGAAAGTCCCAACTTCCAGACCCACTAGCCCCACTTCCCTTCTCTAACTTCCAGCTACCTGCAGCTTCATTGCTATTGTCCGACTGTCCCCAAGCAGATGCCTGTGGCCTGCCTTCCTTTTGAGATCCCCCAGAGCTGGAAACACCATTGGCTTTACTAGTGCCCCAGCCACCAGGACTTGTATTACCATTAACCTTGCCAGAACTCCACCCATCGGCACTACTTCCAATGTTCTTATCCTGTTGATAAACTTTATCAGATTTCTTTCTTCATAATAAGAATTATTAAAACAACACAAATATATCTGCGTTAAATCTCCTAAATCATACTCCCCCCATTACTATTGAGACACTAGCACTTTTCACGCATGCCAAGGCATAAGTTTGACCATTAATATCTTTAATAGTACGGTTGATATTATGAAAATATAAATTGAGACTTCTCCAACAATATATTATACAACATTAAACAATTATATATAAGTAAAAAAAATTAACTTAAAGCTAATAGGAGAATAGTACAAAAGGTCAAAGTGTGTCACAAAAAAACAAAAAAAAAAAGGTAGTACTGTAAAATGAGTACATGATAGATCAGCCATATAGGATTTACACCAAAAATTATGTTAGAAAAAAAGCTTTGATAACAGAGATATCATGCAGTATACAAAATAAAATCAATAGAAAAACAAAAATACAGGTATATAATTTAGGTTTAACTCTGCAAGATATAAAAGCAATTCAAATTTCAAGTGGTCTGTTGAACAAATGAGGAAAGTCCTTTACCTCTTTGCTATCATTACTGGTTGGGTCAACTTGCTGTCCCCAAGACTGAACATTGCTTCCTTTCTTATTGGAATCCCAGCTTCTACCGACTCCCTGCTGATTGATCTTTGAAGAACCCCATCCACCATCATTATTGTCGTCGTTCTTTTGCCAGGATGAATCTTTAGGCTGTCCCCAAGTCACTGCCTTGTTCTCTACTTTCTCAGATACCCCTTGGGAAACAGGGTGCTGGTTACCCTGACCAGAGCTCCAGCTACCAGACCCTTTATGACTTTTACCCCAGGGTTTTCCTTGTCTTGCACAATCTAGTTTATTTCCCCCTTTTTTCTCACCCTTACTAGCCCAGTCATTACTTCTTCCGAATCTGGTATCCTTTCCTCCAGTAGAATCCCAGCCTTTAGAACTTGAACGCTGATTCTGTTCATAATTCCAGCCACTTGTTCCTCCCAGGTTCCCAGAATCTCCTTGAGGATCATTTTTCTTCCACCCAACGCAATCAGTTTCTTTGGCTGGTTTACCCCAGGCTTTACAGGGCTCTTTAGAATTAGAATCATTCGCATCCCAACCATTTTCCTTAGATGAACTTTCAGGCTGTGGAAGATCCTTCTTTGGTCCCCAAGCTGACCAACCACCACCTTCTCCGGAGCCGGAAGCAAGATCTTTTTGGGAATCACTTTCCTTCCAGCCTGCATTTTCATCAGCCTCTTTGACTGCACCCCATGCAGATGAAGGTTGTTTTGGTTTAGACCCAGCCCAAGACTTTGAAGATTCCCAACCACCTGTTCTTGGTGAATCTTCTTGCTTGGACAGATCTTTCTTTGAACCCCAATTTGCCCAACCACCACCATCTGCTGAGACAGAGCCACAAACTTCCTTAAGATCATTCTTGATGCTAGTGTCATTAGGCTCTTTGACTGGTTGGCCCCAAGTAGGTGAAGGCTCCCCATGATTAGATCCACCCCAAATTTTTGATGCATCCAATTCATCAATCTTCGATAAATCTTCTGGCTGTGGCTGATTTTTCTTCGACCCCCACGAAGACCAACCATCAGACTTGGATGCATCTTCTGGCTGTGACTGACTTTTCTTTGATCCCCAAGAAGACCAACCACTGCCTTCTGCTGAGCCAGAACCAGTATCAGTTTTGTTTGCATTCCATCCTATACCAGATGAAGGTATTGCATCCCAACTTGATCCACCTGCTCCAGGAATTACAGAATCTAAACCCATTTCAATAGCGTCGTCAAAGACAGCCTTGTTTTCCTGTTCAGGGGATAAAGCTTGTTCCATGTATACATCCGTGTCAAAGTTGTCAATATCTTCACCCAAACCCCCACTATCAACCTCTTCCTCATTTGCGCTACTCATCAGATGAAGGAAGTTGTAAACATCAGTTGGTTTGTCAGCCAATTCAATCTGTGGGATTTGAATAGTGATCAGCAAAGCAATTGGATGAAATAACAAACGGCGAATATAGATTTTCAAACACACGTGAATTATAAACAGGACACAATACCTCTTTTGTGTCCCAGAGGAGATCGAACTTGGCACCAGTACCAATAGCAACACGCTTACCCCACGAGCATGATCCTACAATGCTTGCCAGAGTATCCACATGACACTTCTCAGAAGCTCTTTCAAAACACTTGCGCGGTGTCTGGCCAAGGAGGAAAAAAACATACACGACACAATATATTAAATATCATTAAAAGATCACTGATAATAAATACTAGTTACTCTCATTCATTATATAGGCCACATAATATAGTTTTATATGTCATAAATTAATTTCATTCAAGGGAAAAAAATTCAGCATTAAACACAAATTTTCTAGATAATTCTCACTTCCTCGGATCAGCATTTGATGCAATGTTTATAAAAATTATCAAATACTCATAAACTTTTAAATATCCTGATTCAAAGGATCCTTTTCTGCCTCAGCTATGAACAGCAATTGCCTTATATGATGAACTTGAGGAGTATCAAGAACTAAAAATAAAATTAAATAAAGTGAAACTTCTTACATATAGAGTTGCCTCAGTGAAAGGAATTTGAACATTCAGTGTTCGGCATAAAGTCTTTATTCCATTCGTATTGAAGCCAACCAAATTCCCTGCGCAAGTCATACTACTGGCCAACAAAAGCAGATGCTCTTTGAGAACACCTTTTGTGACCATAGTTACAGATGTTGAAAGGCGCTGCAATTACCAGAAAACATACATTTAGCGAGTTGGTCAAACAAATTTTGATTTTTTTAAGAAAACAGTAATACTTCCTCAGTTCTTTTATAACTTGCAACACTTCCCAATTCACCGCTTGAAAATGCATTGGTTCAATAGCTAATATCTTATATTACTACTAAAGTTTTAAAATTTTAATTTATAATAATATTATGTTATGACAATAAAAGTGAGACACTGAGACGAATCAAACAAAGGAAGTAACAATAAAGCACCAGTGTTAATGAAGAGAATATAATTGCAAATACAAAAGTGACTGTCTACTACTCGCAAATATTAGCAAATGTTATGCATGGAAAACCTAAGTTTAATGAAGAGAGAGAGAGAGAGAGAGAGAGAGAGAGAGAGAGAGAGAGAGAGAGAGAGAGACTTAGGTATCTCCACAATCAGATATATCTTCAAATAAATTTGTGCAAAATCAGAAGCTTTTAGATAATGAGTAGAGTCGCCGCCTCAGGAAATTGAACACCAGTCTCAGATCATTGTAACAATTAAGAACCATGCAGCAACATCTAATTACCTAAAGTTGTGCCAATGCATAGATAGATAGAGTTCACATCGGTGTGAACCCAAAAAGGAGAGGTTCACCCCAAACATTATATTGGCAAAGAAAAGAAGAATTATATAGACTATTTCCACAAACCACAAAATTAGATAAAATTTAGTAAGTTTATCCTAAGAATGAAAATTAATAATTACTACATCAACTCAGAGCATTGTCAACAAGGAATATACATAAATAACCGAATGATAACTAATACACAGGTTGAATCCACACGCATACAGAGTCAAAGTTACTAAGCATTACTAAGCATGACGATGAACACAACAATGCTAGGTGATACAAAACAGGCTGAAAATTTGTTGACCAAGGGGATAAAAAAAAACACAGCACCTGCTTCCAACAAGATGATAAACCAAAGAGCAAAAGGCACATATCTAAATGCAAATCCAGCCAAAACCAAAACAACCAGCGCACAATACAATCTCATAGCCAAAAAACATGATATAAAAAGCTGAATTCTAATCTCAAGGGATCTTTGAAGCAGGAGACAATAGTAATACGGAGCAGCACTCATTTTCCCTTCTACTTCAAAGAAGCATGTCAAGTCACAGGGCCCTTATACAAACCTCAAAGATGTTGGTAGTAACCGACACACTAAGCTTCAATGTATCAAGACACGATTTTTAATCAAATCAAATGGGTATCTAAATTACAAAAGAAAAAATTTTAAAATCACCTGGAGCAAGACGCAGTCTATATCACACCAATATATAAAAGATGTTTAGAGGATGGAAATAAAGCAATACAAGCAAGTAGTGATGGAAAATCAGTTGAAATGTACCTGCACTGCCTGATCAAAGGCGCAGGATATTCCAAATAAATCCTGGATTTGCTTTATTGCGTATGGAATAGAGCGCCTTGTATCAATCAGATGAAATACAGGTAGACAACAATCCAGTACAATCCTCCACGCATCACCACTTTGCCTGACAGCTGTCTTCTCCAGAGCCACCTCCACAGCTAATTCACCCTTTGTACTGCTACAGGGACTCTGTACCCAAGTTGTAGTGCCTGGACTAATCCAGGTAATATTGACAGTGGAAATTCGAGGATCACCTGCAAAACAAAACAAAACAAATTTCAAGATTTACTAAATTCATCCGATCTTCAGGAGAAAATTTAACAGAAAGAACACATATAGCAGCCTCCACTCAGTGCAGAAGCAGTATCCTAATTCAGATTTCCATGCAACAATGTTCTGATTCTCTTAGAAGGGAAAATGTCATTAGAATTATTGATAAGAAAGTACATCAGAATAGGACAAGTCTTCCATAATAATGCAAAAAGGAACTCCATACCATCAAAACCCTCTCTTTCAACTCATCTCAAACCAAGTTTAAAAACCTTGCAACGAAAAGAAAAGAAGACTAAAGATTCCACATCTTTCAACACCTTCATTTCACCCAAAACCAAGGAACCAATTAAACCAGGTATCATTTACACAAACATAATCAGTGTAATGTTACATTACAACCTTATTTGCATCCTAACACTCAGTAAAATTATAACTGTTATCCTATGCATAAAACCTACATCCTTTTATCACAAATTAGGTGCCAGCACCATTTACAGTTAAAAACAAAATTTTCACTCTTCTAAATGATTTCACTCCCTAAATCAGTCTTAACTCATTAAGCTAGTAATTTCCACTATGACCATCTTAAAATAAAGGTCAAAACTCAAAACTGCATGGGTAATCCATACACAAGTGTTGGACAAGTGAGTACCTATTGCAGACAAAGTAATCAATCCATATTTCATATTTACAGAGTGTTGTGAGCTTTACATAACAGAGGGAATCATAACTAGTAAAAGTAAAAAAATATTCCATAAAGTTGCAGCTGAAAATCAGAAGATGCATGAAACCAATTAAGTGTTAAAGCAAGAATATATCTCCTTACTCCCAAACTATCATTCTTCTAGAAGCTTACAGTCCTGTTCTTGACCAATAAACTTACTAGCATCACCTACACAGATACACACATCTTACACAGCACAACTTATCGCTAAAAAACACAGTTTCTAAGATACAGATTAAACTCCCCGCAATTGAGCGACAAAACCATTGCTATTACAGCATACTTAAGCTAACATGCTTTGAAACGGAAATGACATCCACTGCAGTACAAAAGTTAAACATGGGGGCAAAACATTCATACCACAAGAAAGCAACTCAGTACAAATAGAATTTATCAAGCAAATTCTGAAAATTTCCCAAAATTAAGTAAAAAGAACCTTTAATAATTGTATCCAATAGAACTGGGCAGATCATATCAGCCATGATATGTTTTGTTCTTTCCAAATCAGAGTCGGGCATGTCTTGCCAATAGAATTTCAAACATGGCATGTCAGTCCATTTGCTATCAGAATGGTTGAAAAAGCAACATTCACTGCCATCAGAGAAGAAAGAGATTCAGAAATCAGAGCTATCAGAAGCATTCGCAGTCATCCATAGCATAAGCAGGGATCATAATTGACACAGCTATTATGACTCAAAATTATTATGCACTGTTTTATCCACGAAATTATGTATGAATAACTATCATCAAATTATCACCATCAGAACAATCAGATACTACACTGCAAAAAAACAAGAAACATGTCATGAACCTACCTGACAGACAAAAGTATCCTCTTAAAATGATAACTATATTTCTTCTTCTTACGCAACATGTTTACTTGTTCTTCACATTTTTGTAAAATGTCACGCATACCAATGCCCGATGACTTTAGCAAGCCCTACACAACATAAAACTTGTCACATAATTGAAACCTTTCTACAAGGAAAACTAATGTTTACAAAGTCAATAAGATATAAGAGGGTAAAAAGTCTACAAACCACATTGAGATGAATATGACCAACAAGTCCTGTGTCCATTTCACAACTTTCAGGTTCAAGCTTTGGCCGCTTGTACCTGTATGGAGCGATCCCATAAGCATTCAAGCAGCATAAAAACAGATAAAATATATATGGAATGTAAAGCATCTATTGCAACTGTAAAGAACAAACATTTACCAACATAGCATCACTCATTTGAATATACTAGAAAGACTTGGATCACACAATAAATCAACATTTTAATTTTGTAAGCACATCTGTACGACTGTACATGAATGATTGACAATTTGAATCAAACATAAGTAGTTAAGAATATTACTTATGGACCAAGGGAAAAAGTACTGAAGAGATATGGCAACATAAATTTCTCAACAAGGCATAACAACAACACCATATAGAATACTTATACCCAAAAAAAGGTGGTAAAAGAAACTTACTCAATTGATAGCTCAATTGCAGCATCTCTGAGGCTAACCTTTTTCAAATGATTTTTTACCAGGCATGATGCATTTTCTTGACAATACTTCCTACCACAACAACAATCATTCAGATATAATATAACCCGCCAATCATTATTATCATTCCTGAAATTCGCACGGCAGAACAATATTTCCTGGTACAAGTAAGATGAATCAGCAGCTAACAAACAAGGAATAAGAATTCAAATAGAAATTCATCAAGTAAACATACACCATAAGCTAGATTAACAATTTAAAGTCAATATGTTCTTGTTAGTAATAACTAAACAGACAATGAAAGAATACCTTCATCATATCCCAAGAAGAATTACTATTGGGAGAAGAGTCCAGAACAGCCTTGTAAGCAGGATTTGACATGGCAGTTGCTGCCAAAACTCCAACAGGCTCTCCAGCAGGAAACAGACTCTGGGATGCCATCCCACCAATCCCATATTCAAATTGAATGACAGAATTACTGCTGATATTTCTAACGGTGCCATCATAACAAATGACAACATCTCTAAGAACTGCCATCAAATTCTTAAACAGCGTTCCAGGCTCAGCCAGTCCTTTTGATGAACGGACAATTACCTCCCTGGTAGCAATAGAGTGAACTATCTCTTCATAAGGATCCAGGCCATGGAAGAAACAACTTGTTACAAATCCAAACTCCTCTGAAGGATGCGAAGTTGCATATGGATACTTTTGTTGAAAGAGACTAGCCACTTCCTCCACCAGTCCACTAGAATAAAACTTCCTTCTATCAGAAAGCTGCAGTCCCAAAAACCCAATTTGCTGAACAATTTTATCAATTGCAGAGTCACTCCTAGAATCAATCAGATTTCCAAGTGCTGAAGATATAAGAATAAAATTTCCAACTGGGGATTTGAGCTCCCGAATATGATTTTCAAATTGCAGCTGCACTAGTTCATTGAAGGATGATCTTAGCTGCATTAACAGGGGTGAAAGATCTTGTAAATTCCTTTGAATATTTTGCAACTCAGATTTGGGGAAAAAAAAATCATGCAGCCCCACACTAAAACCCTCAGAAAACAAATTTTCCATCAAAAGGGGTTGCAAAGAGTCAAAAAAGTTCAAAGCATCTTTTGGGCTTTTGTTAAAGAACAATGACGTGAGAACGTCACTAATGACTGATGCCACAATATCCCGATTGAAGTCTAACTTTAATACTTCACTGTCATGTATCAACAGTCTATCGCCATGACATTCAAAGTGGGTTGGTAAAGCCGTCTGCAAAACTTGCTGAGCAGTCCAGAGAGGACCAGAAGAATATGCTTTCTCTTTTTTCGAAACTGAAGGACATGCTTTCCACAGTGCAGGAGATGGCAAAAGATTAGAGGCATACATAGCCAATTGGTTAGCCGATGATCTGTCAAGAAAATGAACCTTAAACATAGTCTTTAAAGACAACAGAGAATCAGTAGATAGCTGCAAGTTCAGATTTCCATTATGTGAACTCAGCAACTGTTTCTCAACAGAAAACAGCTCCAAAACTTCAGCCCTAGCAGAAAGCGACTGAGGATAAAATAAGTGAACACAGTCCCCATCAAAATCTGCAGCCAGAGGACCACACATAAGAGGGTTAATTTTGACCACATGATCTTCATGAATGTACACATGCAATGCTTGAAGAGAATGCTTATGCGTAGTAGGAGGTCGATTAATGAAAACTATATCCCCATCCATAATCCTCCTATGAACAACTTGGCCAAGTCTTAGAAACGTATGCCCCTTAGAACCCTCCCTCAACGAATATGTTGACAACCCATCCCTAAAGGTGAGACACAAGTTGTTATCTACCAGATTTTGAAGGTACTGTATATTATGCACGTTCACTCTCTCTTCAAATGTCATTTTTTGGGCAATCTCACAGGGCACACCAACTTCATTTACAGCCCTGTAAGCATCACCGGTGATGACAGACCTTGAAGAGAAACCAGACCCTTTGCTTATGAACAAGGTTTTCATTTTGTCGACCCAAGCTTTTGAAGTGTTGTTGCCTTCTTTGCTTACCCCATACCGGTTGTCACCATCATGAGCAGCCTGCCAAAAGAAATTACTGCCTGTTAATAAGTAAATCTGTACTCTCCCAATAATAATTAGCTCATGCAATTGCATTTTTACATCTAAGTAAAACTATGGGCATTACAAGTTATACCTTCCCAGTGCCTCTGACTTGGAGATACTGTGAAACAGCAACTTGCAAATCGTTGGCTTCAACTTCATGCGACTCGAAATTGGGTTCACCAGATCGAGAGCTCCTTATAACCTCGATTTGCCTGAGAACTTTCTTCATCATCGCTGAGCAAAGATCCTAAAACATCACAAGGCAATAATTATAACAGGTTTAAGTATTGAAATGTCAAACATACAAATATAGCACAACTCACCGATGACATAACACTAACTCCATCTGATACATCTGGAACAGATAAGCAGTTAGGAGGAACAGGTACATAGCGCAAAATGTACCCCTCTTGCGGGATGTATCCTTTCTTTGCAAGCTTTCTTCTTGTATCTTCAGGTAATTTTTTCAACATCGCTAGAACCTGATTAGTTGTGAGTAGATGGATGAGCAAATATGTGAGTAGATGGATGAGCAAATATGACTAAACTCCAGGATGCACATCAATGGATAAGTTCGGGGAAGGGGGGCACACTTAGATAATCAAGATATACATAAGATAATTTTAAACTCTATTTTGATTATTATTTGATTAGAAAAATTTAAAGAGGGAAAGAGTGTTGGTACATAAGAAAGAATAACATAAAACACAATAAAAAAATATTGATGGGTACTAACAGATTTACTGAAACTCAGTCAACCAACCGACAATTATGATTACATTATTGCAATACTGGAACCAACATACATATGAACTGACAAAGATCATAAGCTTCGAGTACATCAACACTTAACACAGAATACTTTTGATGTCATTGAAAGTAAATAACAAAGCAAACAGCACAGTTACATCTGTAACCCAAATCTTTTGAGAAAGTTCCAAAGACAGCAAAAAATCATGGGATCAAACCTCAGAAGGAAGCAGCGTCCTAGCACAACCATCCCCATATCTGTAACCATATCTTTCAAGAAAGTTCCAGCCATCTTGCACTCTTGATCTGGTTGGTATTCTCAGCTCAAGGAAAACAGCCCCGTCACTGTTCTTGATATCTTTTATCGATACACTGCAGGCTTCCTAAGAAAAAATCGAACCACAATGAAGTAAATACAAACAAAAAACAGCATATATAAAACTATAAATTTACACACACAAAACAAAAACACATGGTAAATACACAGTTTTCTCCACACACCATTCTGAAGAGTCCAAATAAACAAAGCTTAAAATGGCAGGTCCAGATATAGCATACAGCAGGGTAAATTTTAATTAAAAATGAACTTACAAGTTACAACTAGAATGTAGTCAAGAAAATTTGTACACTTGAGACTTTATCCTACACACTAGAATTGAAGTCAGGAAAATTTGTTCACTTGCGACTTTTTTCCTATGGTGCCTATTTTCTCATAAATTGGACCGTGATATGTAATTAAACAATAATGAACATAAGCTCAATAGTTTTACGCATTAATTAATATCTGCATTCATTTTGTAATAACAGACAAAGTAAAATAATTTAATGACCTATAAGTATTCAAGAAAGCAAAAGTTTATATAAGACTCTTAGGGGGTGTTTGGTTCATCAAGTTGGAATGAATTGGTATGGAATCTCATACTAAAGAGGTATGGATTCTAAAACTCATACTAATCTAATGTTGTTTGGTTTTATCGTTGGAATGGATTCTATCCTTCATAAATAGAATGGATTGTGAATCTTAAAGGGAGGGGTGGGTATCTGATTCCATGGGTGGGGGGGGGGGGGGAGTTAGAACCCCTTGGTATCAGATTCCATAACTAAAAACCTCAACCAAACAATAAGTGTTGGTGTTGTAGTTTGAAAGGGACCCCTTAAAAGTTTCTAACTCACAATTGTTATCTAAATTAGTATTAAAAAAAATGTCTTGTTACAAAATTCATGAGAAACATAGCCAAAGCATTTACCCCTCTGATTTCTTATTGCAGACTCTTGTTTCTAGGAGAGTTTAGTGGGTGTGAGAAGATGGACTAGGAAAGAAAGTGTATGTATAAAAAGTAGATGGTTGTATATAAGTTGAATGTATGGTAAAAAATAAGGGGTGAATATTAGGATAAGGGGGTAAGTAGAAAAAAAGTGTAAATATTGTAGAATAAGGGTATAGAAAAGTTGGACAATATGAATAAATAACACAGCCAGCACAGGAACCCCCTTCCTTCAACATGAATTTGCCACTGCAACAGTAACTATGAACTTAATCACTTCCCTTCAGAAGTCATGACTCCCACAACTGACCATCTTAAGTCTTAACTCAGAAAGACATTGATAACAAAAAAGGGTCCCTTTCAAACTACAACACCAACACTTATTGTTTTCGAGCTGACCATTAAGGTTCATTAATTATAGGTGAATTGTAAATACAAAGTAATATTCTATTTTACTTCTACATTAGAATGTACAATACATAAATGCACTCTGTTCAAAGCTACCCTAACTAAATATGTTCAATACATTGATCCTAAAGCCCACGCGGGGGCAGAGGGGGGGGGTACCAGCAATCCAGCACTAGCTTCAAAAAGTTATCATCCAATTTGTTTATATTTCAGATTTTAAAGATAACATATAGAGCATAAGTTGTAAGTTTGTCACACAATTTTTAAAAAAAACAAGATATACATACAGAACATGAATACTTACATCACAACATGCAGACAATAATTTCTCCGCAACACCATTGTTCTTCACTGGGAACTGGAAAGATATACAACAAGCAAACAAATGAAAGATCAAAGAGGATTGAGCCTATCCATACAATGCAAAATATAACATGCAACGCAAGAGCTTAAGCCAAAGTTAAATAACATTGTAGCAGTTTATAATTGGAACAAGCAAAAATGTTCGAAATGAAAACTCAAATCATTTTGAAATTTGGCGGCAAAAAATTAAAATTTACATAGCCAAAAACACAACAATACAATATCACAGTATCGTGAAATTGAACAAAGGCAGAAACTGATTATGGACTATTACGTACATACGCAGAAGCCGAATCTTAATTTACTATGGAAAATATAGTTAACTACGTACGGCATTGCAATTCCCTATTAATTGGTTGTTCAATTGAGCTCCAAATATATGTGAAGTATAAATTCCACGAAGAAATTCGATGAACTGTTTGGTTGGAATTGGCATAGGAACTTCTGTTACAATTCACACATATTGGCAAACGCTGCTTACCTAGCTCCCTTAGGAAAGTAGACCTTCCCCCAAGACTGCAGAAGACTTCTTATGATCACCCAAACTATTATACACACATCACGGAAAGGATAGCTCCAAACAAATTGCCAATTCATGGTAATTGCAACTTTCTATCTGTAACCAAACAGTTACTTATTACTCTTACATATACTTCCTTTGCTTTTTTTTTTTACAAGCAACGTTTCTTATTTTCACGTTTGCAGATGCATAACTTCAAACATTTATAACTTTAATTATACATTTGAAAAGATTACACTTCCTCTGTTCTTTTTAGTTGCATTACTTTCCTAAAATGGAAGTTTCAAATTAGTTGCATCACTTTCCTTTTTAGATAATAAACTCTTTCTATCTCACTCTTAATCACATCGATCCATTTATTTATTCTCTCTCATCTCCAAAATTGCCTAGGAGTCCGCGATTTGCAAAGAATCTAAAAAAACGGAGGAAGTAATAGATTTTAATAAAGCAGACATTGAAATCAATCTAACAAGATCACAAAATTTTTCATTGAAATCAATCTAACCGGTAAAAATCACAAAATTCAATTTAAGTTGAGTATGTGAATAGTAAGCACTATTGAAATGTTGTGGGTAATTAAAAACAAAGGAATTATTGCCACCAATCTAGTACCTATATCACCTTATATGTGGGTAACCTTAAACTTATTTAGGAATCTAGGACTATCAATAATGTGAAGTATTGCAGCATCAAGAAATGATATCTATCAAATGAAACCATGATATTATGTAAAGAACTGAATATAATGTCAGATCAAAATAAAAAGTGAAAGAAAGCATTTAATGAAGAAATAGCAGCCCACAAGCCCACTCCATCCACAAATGCTTTAACTTATTCAAAATACTATCAACTAAAAAGAGTAAGAAAATTCTAACAGGGGTAATGGTATGAAAGTAAGACAGTGAAATAAAATCTATTTAACAAAAAGACAGTGATGAGTGATGTCATTAACAATATTATAATCATTACTCCAGCAGTGTCCAGCCTTTTTTATCAGAATAAAAGTACTTTTGCAACAACACTGATCTACAAAACATTTACTTCAATTATTTCAACTCCATACCTTTTCTTCAAAAAAAAAAACAAACAAAAAAACTTCATACCTTATTTGACTTCATCTTTAAACACTTGAGGCACACTAAGCTCAACAGACGTTTTAATTCGCTGACATGAGATGGGTGGTAGATAGGTATTGGTAACTCAATATAGCCGAAGTGACCTGATAATAAGGTATTGATAATAAGTAACCACCTTATATCTTTGAGATGTGACAGACAATGAAAAACCAAACCAGATAGGATACTGATGTAGCTAAACTGATTTAAAAGAAGGGAAATCAGCCACCACACTTTGCTCATCTTCCTTCATTTTTGTTTTAACCACAAAGAAAAATCAAGTATAGTATAAAAGAGGGCAAAGTGAACAATGAGGTAAAAATAGAATACAGTAATTTAGTGAAGAAGTAAACATTCTAACTTCTAAGACAAATCTTGATGACTGAAATGATGAATCCTTAATAGGCATTAGTTTAGTAACCCATTACTCACCGGCACATAGATTTGTAAGTGGGGTTTGTTGGAGAATTAAACATTATAGAAAAGTAGTAGGGTAAAAACTAAAGGATATGAGCGGAGAAAATTAATTTTTAAAAATATAATTAAATAAGAGAAGATTTCCAAAATAATAAGTGATGCACTACAAAAATGACCAATTTAGAGAAGTGATGCACTTACAAAAACATAGGGAGTATTTCAATTAAAGGCTAAAGTGGGAAGTACATTATAGTTTACAAAAGCTTGGCCATGATTACACTAGTAAATTAATAAAATGATAAATACAAAGAGGATCCTTAAGACTTCAATGCTGTTATAAAACAGAAAAGTGTTTTTTATGCTACAGGTGCCTTTCATCAAGTTGCTATGATTTAGCTTTACAAGTATATAATTTAATCGGTATGTTGGCCACTAATTTAATTGTTTTTGTTATTTCTCATGTTAAACGAGTAGGCAATTCAATAGCCCATCTAGTAGCAAGATGGGATACCAATGATAGTTCCGAACTAGTATGTATGAACTCTTTCCCCCAAAGTCTCATGACTTTGGCGGAGCTTGATTTGCAATGATAAACCTACTAACTTGTTTCCCTCACACACACACACACACACACAATAACACCCTTCTATATAGGAGAGCATATCAGTCGCACTAAATATTGATAGCCGGGCAAGGTCATTCACAGCAGCATGCCTTCAAGCAACCACTATTCAGTTGTACACGATAAGAGACATTCTGCTTCCATCAAATTTTATTTTTAACAAAAGAGGATATGTTTTACCTTCACACTTTCCGGGTTCTGCAGTACCACAAGACTCGCATTTACCCATTTCCAAAGGTAAGCCTAGAAAAGGATTTGCCAACTGACTAGCATGACTAATTGGACAATCGCTGATGGAAGACGTTCGCTGCAAGGTGAAAAGGGGGAAAAACCTCATTATGCATTACATATAATAGATCAACTACATATAGATTTGGGCAACAATATGTCATCCTTCAAAGAAATTCAATACCATCTTCCGGAAATTAGCCACAACTAGCATTTTTAAAAACTCCAACGCATCTGAGATACTCTTACAGAATAATAACTAACTCATAAATATTTAGAAGCAAAGAAGAGTATATGAACTGGAATTATTAGCCAAGTCATAATCAGAGAAACATGGGAGAAGCAACAGCCACCATCAAACAGGATGGCTGAAATAGGACATGATGATGAGGGAGGGAGGAATTGGAGCACTGCACACGTCATAATAAAACAGCAATTCAACGACAAACAAGTGAGAAAGAACACACACAAAAAATGTTGTAAAGTGCCACTCTCCATACTATAGTAGTAGCATCATTTTTCTTCCTTGCTTGAAGTGAAAATCGTACTCCCTACGTCACAAATTATCTTTTCCTTATGGGGTGTGAGAGGATGTCCACAAATAATCTTATTGTAACTTAATACTATGTATGAAAATTTAACTCATTTATCCATGCAACTGACCCCATCACTAACTTCTTTCTCAAACTCTAAAACTCCAAACTCAATGTCATGTAGGTCCTTTTACCCACTAACTATCTTCCAATCAATTTATTTATTCTAAGACCCCATATTCACCAAAACATCTACTCACCCTTCTAATTCCCTTATTATGTGTGTCCAACGCTAACAAAAAGATTTTATTGGAGGACAAAGGGAGTACTACTCTCTAAAATATTCAACAGGGGTGGAAGGGAGAGAAAAGCATACGATTAGTCGGTTAGTGGAAATTTTCGCTTTATTCAATCTCTACTAGGTGACCCCAGACATTGACCCCTCTCCCTTATTGGCGTAACTCGTAAAATATCAAGCAACTCTTATTCTTTACCTGGAAATTAAGCTTAATTTAACTTCAACAACCTACAAGTATCTTTATTTAATAGAAGACAGATATATGATTGGATCCATAGTTAATATACTTGTACCATTAGTCCATTAGTACTCAAGAAAAAAACAAAAATTATGATGTGTAGCAAATTATAACCAGAAAAACAAGAAGCTGTAGTTGTCCATCTCTTGCACAACCACCATGTACAAATCATATAATGTGCGGATATATGTACACTTCCATGCCAATTGACCAAACTATATTACACTCTTTACGCTTCAAAAGAAAGGACTCCCACCGATTATTTTTCGGCACTAGGGTGTACCTTTGCTTTTGTAGAGGCTTCATTTCAGCAGGAACAAAAAAAGATTTCCATTTTACAAATCACAACCTAAAGAAGCTAGACAGCAGGATATGCCCAAACTAAGAAGCTAATACAGAGCAGCGATAGTACTTTATAAAACCACAAGTGAGCAATGAAAATAAATACAAGATTAATTGATATATACGAAGTATACAAGCTGACCAAACTAACTAGCAGCATTGCAATATCATGACGCACATAAAGCATGAGACAGAAAAATTGAGCTGCCTACTCACAATTTCATGATCGCTTGCAAGGCCGAACTTAATTCCAATCAACTCCCCATCAGGAACAGTTGAAGCCTCACTTTCCTCCATTTTTGAAAGAACAAGAAATTTGATTCAACTTATGGTGGCATACAAGAGAAAAGCACTCCTGTGGAAGAACATCGACACATACAATAATGAGTGAGCACATGTGATTATATCACAAGTTCATAACAGATTAACAGCAGCATCTTTGAAAACAAGGTATTCCTAAACTATGTGAGCTTTTTTCAGTTCTCTCAAAACAATAAAAAAAAAATTTATATATATATAAAGAACCATGTTCATTAGACAAAATTACAAACTACTAATTAAACTAACAATTGATGTATGAAGATTCTCCTCAACACGGAGAATGGATTAATCCAAAAACAAGATACATTGGTGTAACCTAAGTTACTCATGACTCTTCATTGCCCTCATGTGGCCATGCCGAATACTCGGCATGGGTAAAGAATATGCCGTTAGAGGACTTCATTTCGGACTAAGATCATACAAAATTTCATGAAATGGTCTTGTCTAATACTTCAAGCCGGGTCAGAGTGACATACACAGTATCACCTCATCCTAAGCCCAAAATACTACTCCGTACAAGACAAGGTGATTTCTACAGCCAGGATTATTTCAACCAGTCAACAGATAGCCCAAGAAAACAAAATCTCCCATCTTAGGAAACACAACCAATAATGAGACTATCAACAAATCAATTCTCTTAGCTCCGGCTCCACTTCGCCACAAATCGACTAACGGCCAAGCTAATCATTTATTTTACTCAAGACTAAGCGCTAAAAAAGATAAATCACAAGAAACAAATACCCAGAATAACTAGGGCAACCCACATTTACCTCTATGTACAACTATTATTCCTCCATACAACCAAATTGCCAAATTTTTACCAAAAGGGCACACAAAGATACAAAGAAAAAAAGGAAAAAAAATCCCATTTAAAATTTCCAACCACAGTGCAGTGGCTCATTAACATCGCCATTAAAGCAATTTAATCAACTTTTCCAGAAAAGAACAAAACAAAAATAGAACATTTTCTTCTAAAATCACATAAAAATACGAAATTTTTTTACCCAAAAATACAAAATTATGATAACATTGTTTGTAGAAATTTCCCAACAAAATACACTAAAAATTGAATATAAATACACATGCAAAATCACAATCAAAAACATAACTTTCAGTAAAACACAAACAAACGCAGATGATCCCACACTACTGAGAAATTCCACAAGAAAAACCCAAAATGTAACACTAAAATGAGTGAAAAAATCAAACACCAAAAAATTCAAGAATTAAGAAAAAATCAAACGACTTACCAAAATCAGAACACAGTGCTGATTATCCGAGTCCAAGAACAAATTAATTTAGCCAAATGAGAGTGTAAAACCCTAAAATTACCCCCAAAAAACCCCCAAATTCACGAATTTCGGAAGCGAATTTCGGAGGAGAGAGAGTGAAGACGAAGGAGGAGAGAGAAATGGGGGGTCTAAGCTTTTGGTAGTACATGCAGTGAAACCAAATAGTGTGAGTCGTTGAGGTAAAAAAAAATTAATTAAAAATAAAAAATGGGTTTTATGAAATGACTATTTTACCCTTATACCCATTTCCTCTTTTCTCAATCAGTAGTACTGCACAAACTATTTGTGTGGGGTCCACATATTCACAGTCTGTTGCTGAATGGTGTACTAAATTTTTTGACTTATGAAATTACCAAAATGGGTTTGAGGAATTGAGGAGAGTTAAAGGGGTATTTTTGGAATTTGAAGGGAGTTAAAGGGGTATGTGCCACTTTGATAAAAAGCCACAAAAGGGTGAAAAGGAAAAAATAATTTTTTGAAAAGTTTGGCTCAAATTCTAAATATTGGCGAAGTGTTTAAGGTATCCCGCCTAAATTTTGCCATTTTACCAAAGTTGTGGGACTTGTAGAGGGTTGTGTAAATTGTGTTATGCAATCATTATCGTAATTATATCAATAATTATGGAGTCCATATATGCTACTTTTGATTCGTATTATACGTAATTTGGTGTATTATTTGTGAAATATAAAAATTTTAAAAAGTAAAAAGTAAGTAGGTAGCAAGGAATACACAAGTGTAAATTGACTAATTGGAAAATAGAATATAAAAGTAAAAAGTAAGTAGATAGCAAGGAGTATACCAACATGCAAAGAAATTTTTTAACACGGATCTACGCTACCTTAAAATCTATTTTTTTTCGAGATCAATCACCCGAAATTCTTATTGTTCTTCATGCCCAAACTTTGAGGAGACATTTGTCCATGCCTTTAAAGACTATGAATATGCCAGGGCAAAGTGGAGTCACTTTACCACTAAACGACATATCCTATTTGATGATTTTAAAGAGTTCCTTAAAGATAATATCTTTCATCAAATCATATGGAGCTGGTTCTAAGAAGCCTTTATTTTCTTAGAACACGATTTTCAAAATTTTGGAACTATATAACAAGCTTGTCATTAAGAAAAAGAAAAGAGGTATGATTCCAAAGCACTCACAAGTCCAAATGAGAAGGGGGTTTTATATGTGGAGAGCGAAGTCTTACAGGTTTTGAGGGAATGAAAAAGGATTTGGGACTTGTTCTCTTCAACTTATTTCAGATACTTATTACTTATTCCTTAATAAATTCAGATCAGACCAGATCAGAACTTTTGATCATCATTTACTTATTGTTAAATATCGTTAATTGCGTATTAATTTTTTTTATAAAAGTTACATATTTAAAAAGTTCATAATGAGACGAATCTAACAAGATCCATTTTGATAATATTTTTCTTTATAGATTAGTATTAAAATGCGGTCAAAGTTTAGTCATATTATTAAATTAGATCAGAAAAATTCAGATTAGACCTTAAAAAATTCAGACCAGATCTACTTGTTTTAGGTGAAGAGAACAAGTCCATGTACTGCCCTAATGATTTAATCACAACTATGGAGAAAAATGAGAAGATTTAGATTGGGGTATCATACCTCTTTTCCTTTTTCTTAATGACAAGCTTGCTATATAGTTCCAAAATTTTGAAAACGTGTTTTAAAAGAAAAGGCTTCATGGGAACCATATGCATATGATATATCACTAGATTGTAGGCAGTTAAATAAGGAAAAAATATAAGTTTATCTTTGTTTGTGGGAAAAAACAATACCAGGAAGTGACACTTGTTTGTATGTTTTAGTATTATGTCATTGATTTTGTATATAAACACCCCTTAAAACACTTTATATAAAAGTAACTGACCATCCATTTTTTTTTAATATGTTATATTACCACCACTTAAAATTAAAAAGTTAGATAACACCAACCATCATCTGAGTCTGGCCACTTTTTCGATTGGGGAAAGGGCCATATAACGACTGGTTTTTTCTTCGTGTTGTTGTCGTTACAATTGTGGGAGGGTTTTAGATATGAGATATCAACAGTATCGGAAAATATATGTGTGATATATTTTTCATATTGATATTATGAGGAGAATAATATACGTAGTATTTTGGATTATTTATGTTAAGATATTATTCAGTATATTAGGGTTTATGGTTATGATCTCATATTTTGTAGGATTTATTGTTTTCTATCCAATGATCTTAGGTTTTGTATAAATATTCTACCTTTTATTGGATAATGATAAGTCATGCTATTAACTCTTTACTTAAATTTGTCACAAGTTCAATGGGGTTCATTATTAACCGCAAGTGGCGAAGCCAGAAATTTTAAATCGGGGGGACAAATTAACATCATCGCTTAGTTTGAAAAAAATATTGGAGCAAAAATATACTTAAATAGTTAAAGTTTAACAAAATTTTTGAAAATTTCGACGAACAATATATAATATAACTATTTAAATGTATTACTTGTCATAATTACCTATTAGGCTATTACAATCATAATTTGGGGTAAAGTTCATGCAAAACTACAATTACAATGATAGATTCAAATACGTATTTGGAATAATTGTTAAGAAAGAAATTGAAGTAATATTATATTACAAAGATTTTACTACAATTACAATTATAATTCAAATAAGTAAATGGAGTAATGTTAAGAAATAAATTAAAGTAATACTATCTTATACTTCGTAAAGATTTAGGTGTCAAAGCTTATAAAAGATTTATAAAAATACAAAAAAAAATATCGGAAGAAAATGTTTGTAGGTACAATCGAACCTAATCCCTAGAACCCAAACTCATGCATCTCCCTTTGACTGTTGCGCCAACTCCTTTGGTCTATCACATTATGCGCAAAATATTGTATTTAAACTTTTTTTTTTTTGGGAAGTGAGGGGACAAATGTCCCCCCTTGTCCCACGTTGGCTCCGCCAGTGCTTAAGATTGACCTATTAGGTAAACCCCCTTAATCCACTTGTCATTTTTTTTCTTCTAGTGGTGATACCTTTCTAATCAATATCCACAACTTTAACGTTTATTTTCCTTTTTTCCCCTAATGAGGTTGACCCTTTAAGTTGCATTTGGGGGGAATTAGGATTTGTTCTGACATACTGAACTGAACTAATTGGAGCTGAACTAAATAAAGGTTGAAATGAATATTTTATGAGAGAAGAAAATTAAGAACTGAACTGAACTAATTGGAGCTGAACTGAACTGAAATTAATATGAAAAGAATAGACTCTTAGCTCTTCAAGCTATATTAAGAATGTTTTAGGCAGTAGGGGTGCTTGAAGGAATTGTGTCCTTGACTCTTGTGCGATTACTAAATATTATACGAATCATATTATGGAGATGATAAGTTCGTTTAGTTGGGTTGTGATTATGTCTTGCTAGAGATCAATATTGATCATTGGATTAAATCGATGCAAATTAAATAGATCATATGAGGTCACATGTCACAATGGTAGGCCGAACAAGTAATTGATTTCCAAAAGTTGGGCATAGTGAATGGCCGGCCATAAGGAGTAAAAGGGGAATAAGTCTTGCCCTAATTAGATAATAGGATTATATAATTGGATTACATAGTTAAGGGATTGGGGAAAAATAAAACAGATATTCATCTTTCACAAAGAAACAATGTATTATTTTCCCTTTCTCTCTCTACATCCGACTAAAAGTTCTCTATAGAAGAGGAGATTAATCTCCACTATCCAACTAGCATTGGCGGAGGTCCAATCTACACCTGTGGACTAGTCATAGAGGAGCAACAATTGTGACTCTAATCTCCGAAAGAGGTAGAAGAAAGCTTGGGAATTCGCGCACCAAAGGTTAATTCTAAACTATTATGTGATCCTTTATTTATATATGCATGAGATCTTGTTTTGATGCATACCGTATGAATGAAATTCATGAAACATAACTTGTATGCATGTTAAAAGATAAAAATGCTATAAAATAAATACTTCCTCCGTTTTCTTTTAGATGCAACACACTCTTTAGCGCGGTAATTAAGAAAGATGGGATTTACATGATATAATAAACTTTAAAATAGAATGAGTGGTTGTTAAGAGTATAATTTAGTAGGCCATGTGCTTTGAATAAGGGATATAGTATACTTTTTCCCTAAAGTAACTTTCCTTTTATAATGTGTTGCAAGTATTGTGACATTTTCTTTTTAGGAAAGTGTTGCAAGTAAAAGAAAACGGAGGAAGTAAATAATATAGGCTTATCAAAAAGCTTGGAAATCATTAATTAGGCCAAAATTTCAATTCTTAGCACTATGCAAGGTGTTTTCACATAATAGTGAACCCTTTATTCCACATTGTTTGCTAAAGAATGGAGTAGCTAGCCATAGCCGCTAGTTTCACTGGAGAATCGTAGAACTTTTATCTTTTGCTCAAATGGGAGATTGAAAAAACTTTTGGCTTGAAACTCGACTTGATCAAGTAATTTCGTTGAAATTCCATGGTTTGTGACTTGGAACATCCCCCAAGTTTGACACTCTTTAAAAATGAGGTTAAAGCATTAAGATCAACTATTGAAATAGAGATAGAAGACGAGAATTTCTCATTGTTAGAGCATGGACAATGACATCATTATCCTTTAATATACTCTATCTTCTATTCTTGTCTTGACACCTCATTTTCTCTTTCATATACCCCATTTTCCACTAACTTATTCCTTTTAACTATTTTTCATCCTCTATTCCCCCCACATCAATTAAGGATCCTCTTTCTCATCCTCATCTTCTCTCACCTACTTTTTACAAATATCCCATTATTGAAACTAGATAACAATTAACATTACAATAAAACATGACAATCAATAACATTATTACATGACTATATATATTTAACAATAATAAAACATGATAATAATAAAAAAAAAACGGCTATTTCACCAAATGCCACTGAGTACTTAAAATTCACCAAATGCCATCAAAGTTTTCAAAATTCACCGAATGCCACTGACAAACAATACAATGACACCTCGTGCCACTAATAGCATATGGACGTTAGTTTTCCGTTAATGCAATTCTTATTTCACCAAATGCCATTATTTTGGAAAATTAGTTCACCAAAAGCCATTACTTTATTTATTTAAATGAATAAAATAATACTTTTTCGGGACG